CTTTGCTGTAGTTCCTTCATTCTCAGAAAATGTGTGAGCAGGCCTCTCCAGGTTCTGGAATAGGTGCTGGTTTGGGTCAGTGATGAGTCTTTTCCGCCCTCTAGTGGTGTTTCTGGAGCACATCCGTTTTGTTCAATGGGATTGCTTCCACTCCTAGCCTCTTGCAGGGAAGACTGGCATGGGCAATCTGTAGCAACCAAGGAGACTGAGGAATCATTCCAACGGCATCCAAGGAGACTGACATGAGAAATCTTTAGCACCCAAGGAGAATAAAGAACCCAACAGCATCCAAGGGGACTGGCATGAGGAAAACTTAAGCTTTTGTCTGTGGCATTAGCCCAAAGATGGAACTCACCCATGTGAAGAAGAGAATTCACTGCGTGTAACTGGCTTCTCAGACTTTTATTTGTCCTCCAAAGGCCGGCCAGAAATTACCATAAGCACAGATCATTCACTTGGCAAACGTTCAGTAAACATGTTATGTGTAGGGCATACGTGAGTGAAAAGATCCCTAGTCCATCAAAGTACCAAAATATTAAGATAGTAGTAGATTGTTATAAGTTAAGGATTAACACTGGAGTCAAACTGACTCATCTCCTATCCCATGCTTGATGGTTCTTTATATAAGCCAAGTTACTTGGCCTCTCTGTGTACCACAAGTCCTTATCTGCAAAGAAATTACACACCCCTCTCAAGGTATATTAGGAAGCATAGTCTAATACTATCATTATCCTAATTATCAAATACATTTTAAACATCCTAATTTTACACTGGGAAGATGTCCTCAAACATTCTTTTTTTTTTTCCAACTTCTTTTGTAAACATGGAAGGGGCTCCTAAGGTCTTTGGCCTCTTTGACAAGCCAGTTCATAGACTTTAATTTATTCCTGGTTTGTTGGTACTTCTTCATAGTTCCTATCTAAAAACGAGGGGTTAGAAATGACAGCTAAAAGTCAGAACTCTAACCCAAAGTTTGCTTGGGGCAAATTAGTGTTATTGGGTCTTATCTACATTTGTTTATTTTCTCCAAAGGTTTTTCTTTCTAGCAGAAATCATAGGAACTGTAGGATACACAACTTTCACTTGCTACCTTCTTGCCCTTCATCTAGGTTTTATAGTTTCTCTGTATTTACACCCACCTATGTCTGAAGAGTAGCCCAAGACACAAAATCAGTTTTTACCCCTCGACCTGTCAACCCAGGACTTCCCAAACACTAGATATCCCTTCCTCCCCTTATTTCTTTAGCTAAAAGTCTTAGTATCTGAAATACAATGGTTGGAGAGAGGGGAGAAAATAATAATTTTAAAAACCTTTCAAATTCATAATGGAATAGCTTCTCTTAAGACATTCCCTTCAAGCCTACTGTAGAGGCACACACCTTTAATCCCAGCATTCAGAAAGCAGAGGTAGAAAATCTCTGTGAATTTAAAGCCAGCTGGTCTATGGAGTGAGTTTCAGGACAGGCAGGTTTACACAGGGAAACCCTGTCTTGAAAAACCAAAAAAAAAAAAAGAAGAAGAAAAAGATATTCCTGTCAACATATTTTGTTAGCTGTTTTCTTGGGTTCTTATACTTCTACCTCCTTTCCAACACTTATTCCACCTTAAACTCTTGCAAACCCCCCCCCATACTAGGTAGGAGAGAAAGAAGGTTAGAGGAGAAAGAGTGCATAGACTTCTCTAGGCTACTTCCTGCTGATTAGGGACATTGGGTTGTCAGAAAACCTAGCAGCCCAGCAAACCAACAATAGCAAACACAACAGCAAGTACAGCAGCAGGAAGACCCAGCAGTAGGATCAACCAACAGCAGCAGCAGAGGGGGCAGCGGCAGGGGGAGCAACAGCCGCTCCAGGCTTTCTTGGGGATCTCCCATGTATACCCTCTCCAGAGTCCCTGGAATCAAACTGTATGCAGCTGGCAAAGATCACGCCCCTGCTAATGCACGAGGCAAATCATAATCACCTGCTATGGAACAGCCTCTCATCCTACACATAACATAACCGACTTTCTTACTCTCACTATGTATTCCCTCAATTTCTAACTCCCATTTCTTCCTAAAGGCTAAAATTATTAAGCCATGAACTTTATGTCACCCCCTAAGTAAACAAAAAATGGCCTACCCTCTCTTCTCAAAAGCTAATAAAATAGCTTTTTTTAAAATGATACCCTCTGGAAGATACGCATCTCAAAGCAAAACTGACAAGACTACAACAAGAGTTATGTGTATATCCTGAAGGGGCATGTAAAGAAGCAGAGAACCTCAATGTATTTGTTGAAAAGAAAAATATTGCAGTTAGCAGGGTTGGGGAAAGCTTTGCTACATAGTGGTTGCTGATTTGGGGTAGGTGAAGAAGTCACTCTAATATCTTTGCACTTCTGCTTCCCCAAATATGTATAAAAGAAAAAAAAAAAGACCTTTCAGTGTTGCTGAAGCTAAGGCATAATGTATTATGCATACAAGTGTGGCGTGTGTGCATGTTCATGTGGGTGGATACATACAAGTGCACATGCCCCAGCTATGCCTGAATTCTTCTGTCAATACTAGGGATCTAGAGTCAGGCCCTCTTAGTTTACCAACTGAGACATTTTCCCAGCCCCACCCTGACTTCCTGTACTTTCTACTGACTCTTTTTGCCTAAATGTCTTTAAGAAAAAAAAAAAAAAAGAAGAAGAAGAAGAAGGAAGAAAAGAAGGAAGAAGAAGGAAGGAAAGAAGGAAGAAGAAGGAAGGAAGGAAGGAAGGAAGGAAGGAAGGAAGGAAGGAAGGAAGGAAGGAAGGAAGGAAGGAAAAGAATCAAACATATTGTTCAATGTGGTGGAGCACACCTTTAATCCCAGCACTCAAAAGGCAGAGGCAGGCTGATTTCTGTGAGCTCAAGGCCAGTCTGGTCTACAGTGTTCCAGGACAGCTAGGGCTATTATGTACAGAAACCTTGTCCTGGGAAACCAAAAAAGAAGAACAAAAAAGAAGAAGTTGGGGGGGGAGGAGAAGGGAAGGAAGGAAGGGAGGGAGGAAGGGAGGGAGGGAGGGAGGAAGGAAGGAAGGAAGGAAGGAAGGAAGGAAGGAAGGAAGGAAGGAAGGAAGGAAGGAAGAAGAAGAAGACAAAAAGAAAAGGAAAAAAGGAAGGAAGACAAAGTCCATGTTTTGAATAAGGGGATTGGTTAAAAAAATTATGGTAAAAAGAGAATATTTCGGATGAGAAATTAAAGAGTAATTAGGATATAATTAATTTGAGCCTAAAGATACAATTAGAGTTTGAGGTTTTTAAACTACCAAATAATTTGGACTCAGTGAAATAACCTATCACTTCAGATAGGTAGTGGATATTTTATTTTTAAACTCTAATCTTTCCACTTTTAACCAAGGGGCAATAAATTTTAGTTTTTAGAACAAGACCAGTTCCCTGCCTGGAATTCAATCCATGTTTGTAATAATAGAAATCAGTGAACTATTTAATGGTTGAAAAACACCATCAGGTTTAACATTTACCAGCAATGAGGCTGCACAAATTAATTAAAATGTCACACTCCTTTGTTTTTAGCAGACTGTTTACGACACTATTGCAGTAACCGGTTATCAAACAAAACAAGCTACTGATGGCATCATGAAAGTGACTGGTGAAATATTGTTTTAAATTCTGGGAATCATGCTAAGGGAGGCATTATAATGAGTGAGCTCTTATTCCTTAAAAAATGCTTATATCCAAGTTCCATTGATAATTGTGCTTGAAATTAAAAAACAGTTGGCTAGCTAATCCAACACTATAGTACAGAAATAGATTATGGATACTTGTACAAATTTCACAACTAGAATGTATCCCTTTAGAAAGAATAACCAAGATTTGCAAACACATTTGCATCTCAAAGATACACCCAATTAGCAGGTAAAGATGTTTGCAAGCTAGCCTGACATCATCAATTTCATCTCTGGGACCCAAATGATAGAAGAATAGATTTCTGCAGGTTGCCTTCTGACTCCACACATGTGCTGTAACATGCATATACATGTACACACAAAGACAGAAAGGTGGGAGCATGAAGAAGGAAGGAAGGAAGGAAGGAAGGAAGGAAGGAAGGAAGGAAGGGAGGGAGGGTAGATGTAATTTCATAAAAGTCCACTTGGACAACTATTCTGCGCGGGGGAAGGGTGCTTGAGAATGATGTATGTTTGTATGTCTCAGTGTGTGTATGTGAGTGCGTGCAGAGTTCAGAGATCAGCATCAAGTGTTTTCCTCAAACTCCGCCATATTTTTTGAGATAAAATCTTTCACTAATTCTGAGGCTTATCAATTCAGCTATGCTGTCTGGCCTGTCAGCTCCACCTGTCTCTAGCACCCCAGCACTGGGATTACAGGTGTATGCCACCACAGCCAGCATTTTACATGGAGGCTAGTGATCTGATCTCAGGTTTTCATGCTTGTATGGCAAACGCTTTCCCAAATAAACCATCTCGGCAGTGTGTCCTTTTTTAAGAGATATTCTCACTCAATGTTATGTCATGTTGGATGTCTGTGGTCACAGAATTGTATTTGACTACGGTTTTAATTGAAGATTTCAGTGAGTATTAAAAGGATGCAACACTGTTTAGTTTCCTTTTTAGTGTGCCTTGCTATGTCGCACATGAAATGTTCTTAATAATGTCCTCTTTAACCTCTGACTTTTATATTGCATTACAGTAGGAGCATAAAATAAATTGATACATTATTTTTGTTTCCCAGAGTTTTATATGCGCACATAGATTTCAACATTGGAGACTGAATCTAGGGCTTTACGCACACTAAGCTGGTCTTTTACCACTGATCTGTGTACCCAGCCCTAATTTGGCCTCTCTTGTCCTGAGACAGGATGTAACCCAGACAAATGTTGAACTTTCGATCCTTCTGCCTTGCCCTCTAGAGTAATGGGGTTGCTATCACTAGGAGTTTTTACATTTGCTGATAAATGTATAAAAACTCATTTGACAATGTTGTGAGAAATAATATTCAATATGTGTTTATACAGAATTATGAAGTTTCACGTTGCAAAGAGGAAGTTTAAGGAAACATTACGTCCATATGATGTAAAAGATGTCATTGAACAATATTCTGCTGGTCATCTGGACATGTTGTGTAGAATTAAAAGCCTTCAAACACGGTAAGCAATGGGGTTTCCTACAATATACAAAACCTCTCAATTCTGTATTTCTGATTCATTTTTGGTAGGTAACTATGCTTTTTAAGATACACTGTATTCTTCTTTTCATGTACACATAGATCAAACATTGACGGCCTCCACATATCTCACCTCCCTCTTCTGGAAAATGGCTAGAATGTCAGTGTTGCCTCAAAGGGTTCACATAACCATTGATTAGACAGTGTAGTTTGTAACATGTAATAACTATGGCACTAGCTACTCCCTAAACGTTAATGTTGGGCTAACAATGTAGCTTAGTAGAACACTTTATGAAAGACCACAGCTTTCTGTTTATCACCCACAAATCAGGTATAACAAACAAACTGTCGTTGAATCTGTCTTATCAGTGTAAAATAAGCATAATTATGATTTCATAATTTCTGTGGTTGAATTCAGAACTGACTGGTCCAAGGTAGAAACAAATTATTTGCTTGGACAGTTTTCCTCTAGAAGCTCCTTCATAAGTGACTTCATCAATTAATCTTATGTAATCTTGTGTTCTTTGACCTCCCCACCGCCCAAGGGAGGAGTGGTCCTGTTAGGCCACAGAGGAGGGCTTCACAGCCAGTCCTGAAGATACCTGATAAAACAGGATTGGATGAATGGGGAGGAGGTCCCCCCCATCAGTGGACTTGGAAAGCCGCACGGTGGAGATGAGGGAGGGTGGGATTGGGAGAGAATGAGGGAGCGGGACACGGCTGGGATACAGAGTTAATAAAATGTAACTGATAAGAAAAAAATAAAATTAAAAAAAAAAAAAGAATCATGAGGGGCTGGAGAAGCAGCTTAACTAAGAACACTCGCTGCTCTCCGAAAGGACCAGAGTTGAGATCCCAGCACTCACGTCAAGTGGCTCACAACTGCCTGTAACTGCAGCTCTCAGGGAATTGGACACTTCCAAAGGTCCCGGCACCTATGCGGCACACACACACACACACACACACACACACACACACACACACACAGACATGTAAATCTAGAAAGAAAGATAAACATATCAACTGGAACACACTTCACCTTATTTCATATTTGACACTTTTCATTGTTTTGCTTTTTTTTTGGTATTATTATTATTATTACAACTTATTCACTTTGTACCCCAGCTGAAGCCCCCTTCCTCATCTTCCTCCCTCCTTCCCTCTTTTTCCCCTATGCCCCTCCCCTAATCTACTGATAGGGGAGCTCCTTCTCCCTTGCTACCTGACCCTAGCCTATCAGGTCTCATCAGGACTGTCTGGATCCTCTTTCTCTGTGGCCAAGTAAGGCCACCTCACCAGGAGGAGGTGATCAAAGAGCAGGCAACAGAGTTCATGCCAGAGACTGCCCCTGCTCCCCTTACTAGGAAACCCCCGTGGAGACTGAGCTGAGACTCATAGCCAAACTTTGGGCAGAGTGCAGGAAATCCTATGGAAGAAGGAGAGATAGAAAGGCCTGGAAGGGACAGGAGCTCCACAAGGAGAGCAACAGAGCCAAAAACTCTGGGCCTAGGAGGGCCAACAGAGGCTGATGTATCTATCAACTGAGGACCATAAAGCTCAGTTATGCTTTGGTTTTGTTTTAAGCATTGCACTTTTGCCTAGTGTAACCAGGTGTCTTCTTCGTCTGGCAGCGTTGATCAAATTCTTGGAAAAGGGCAGATCACAGCAGATAAAAAGAGCCGAGAGAAAATACCAGTGGAGCACGAGCCGACGGATGACCTCAGCATGCTTGGTCGGGTTGTGAAGGTTGAAAAGCAGGTACAGCTCAGCCCATTCTCATTAACTTCCAGCTGTGGTCCATGAAGCAAAGCTGAGTACAAGCAACTTAAGTGTGAAGGTTAACGTTAGCCTTTTTAGGTTTCATTTTATGTGTGTGAGTGTTTTACCTTCATGTCTGTCTGTGCACCAAGATTGGTACCCAAGGAGGTCAGAAGAGGGAGTTAGATGTCCTGAGACAGGGGTTGAAAATGGTTGTGAGCTGCCTTGTGAGTGCTGGAAGTCACACCCCGAGCTCTGAGAGAACAGGTGCCCTTAACCTGAGCTATCTCTCCAGGTCTTGAAGTTAATCTTTTTTGGCTTCTGTTTTTTTTTTTTTTTTTTTGTTTTTGTTTTTGTTTTTGTTTTTTGTTTTTTGTTTTTTTTTTGAGACAGAATCTCTCTATAGAGTTCTGGCTGTCCCGGAACTTGCCAGGCTAGCCTTGAACTCACTAAGATTCACCAGCCTCTGCCTCCCAAGTGCTGGGATCAAAGATGTGTGCCACCATCGCCTGGCCTCCTAAAGTCAATCCTAATGATCAGTGTATATTAAATGAATGCAGTGAAGAATGGTTGAGATTAAAGTGCCCTTATGTATAGACAGTGTTCTTTAAAACACCTTTGGATTTTCATTGAAGGAAAAGAAATTTTTTTTCTGGGCAATTAATATTTACCTGGAGGCAACTATCAAATTTCAATGGTAAAATAGTAAAACTCTATTTGTAGGGTATGCTTTATTTTCATTGTGTCTTCATTTAAAAGAAGATTTAAAATCTCACCATAATTATGACAAACACTGGTCATTTCTTAACCCTAAGACTGTATCTTCTCAGAGTCTTTTCAATGGAATTAATTCATAAGCATTTTATTTATTTATTTACTACTTACATACTTATTTGGGGGTTTCGGAGACAAGGTCTCACTGTGTAGCCCTGGCTGGAAATCACTATGTAAACCATGCAGGCCTTGAACTCTTGGAGATCTGCCTGCCCTTGCTTCTCAAGAGTTGGGATTAAAGACATGCAATGCCAAGTCTGGGTTTAAAAAATTTTTTTTGATACATAAGTTTCTTAATTCTACTATAGAGTAAGTTCTTACTAAAATTCACTAACATTCCAGAAAGAAAATCAACCAGTATAGCTAAGAAAAACATGCTGATTGAAAATCATCTTGAAATTGCATTTTAATGGTGCTTCTTTGATTTAAAAATATATATATATATATATATATTTAAAATTTTGAAGGGCAGAATTGGTGGGGGAGGTGCACACAGGGTCGCACAAATGTCAAAGTAACCCTCTCTGGTTCTTCCTCCAGCCCTGTCACCACCAGCGTGACACACTTACAGAGTTAGAACTGCGTTGACCGTCGTAGTGTTTATTTCACTTTGTCAGTACAATCTTACTTCACCTTTCAAATCCCAAAAGTCAAATCAGTTCTTCATAAGAGAGGGTGTTCTTGCGTGTAACTCTTCTCTCCATTTGCAGGTCCAGTCTATCGAATCTAAGCTGGACTGCCTGCTGGACATCTACCATCAGGTCCTCCGGAAAGGCTCTGCCTCAGCCCTCACTTTGGCATCATTCCAGATCCCGCCTTTTGAATGTGAACAGACGTCTGACTATCAAAGTCCCGTGGACAGCAAAGACCTGTCCAGCTCCGCACAGAACAGCGGCTGCCTAACAAGGTCAGCCAGTGCCAACATCTCAAGAGGCCTGCAGTTCATTTTAACGCCAAATGAGTTCAGTGCTCAGACTTTCTACGCGCTTAGCCCTACTATGCACAGCCAAGCAACACAGGTGCCAATGAGTCAAAATGACGGCTCCTCCTTGGTGGCTACCAATAACATTGCAAACCAAATAAGCGCTGCGCCCAAGCCTGCGGCCCCAACAACTTTACAGATCCCACCTCCTCTCCCAGCCATCAAGCACCTGTCCAGGCCAGACACTCTGCACCCCAACCCCACTGGCTTACAAGAGAGTATTTCTGACGTCACCACCTGCCTTGTTGCCTCCAAGGAAAATGTTCCATTTGCACAGTCAAATCTCACCAAGGACCGTTCCCTGAGGAAAAGTTTTGACATGGGAGGAGAAACCCTGTTGTCTGTTCGCCCCATGGTGCCCAAGGACTTGGGCAAATCTTTGTCTGTACAAAACCTGATCAGATCAACAGAGGAACTGAACCTACAGTTCTCGGGCAGTGAGTCCAGCGGCTCCAGAGGGAGCCAAGATTTTTATCCCAAGTGGAGAGAATCCAAATTGTTTATAACTGATGAAGAAGTGGGTGCCGAGGAGACAGAGACGGATACTTTTGATGGGGTCCCACAGCCTGCGCCTGCGGGGGAAGCTGCTTTTACATCAGACTCTCTAAGGACTGGAAGGTCACGGTCATCTCAGAACATTTGTAAGACAGGAGACAGTACGGATGCCCTCAGTTTGCCTCACGTCAAACTGAACTAAGCTCTTTGTTTTCTTTCTAGGCATAGCTGTTCTTTTAGCCATACATATCACTGCATGAACTGTTCTGAAAGCCCTTCTTAAAAAAAAAAAAAAAAAAAAGTCGAAGTCGCAAGAAGCAGGAAGAACATGAAAGGCCACTTATAAGCCCGTTATCTTTTAATTGCATGAAAATGCATGTTTAGGGATGGCAGAAATTCCAAGGTACATCGACATTAACCCATGCATTTAACAAAGTACCTTGAGTCTAAAATCCCAAGCAAACAGTCGCTGCTGATGCTAATGGGGCGTGTGAAGACGTCGGGATTAGTTCAGTTGCAAGAGTTGACACTGTATTTTGAAATTGTGAGAGTAAACACCTTCAAATTTCAGGCATTTCTGCTTTATGACTAGGTACAAAATACATTTTTCAAAACTAGGCCATAATATATGTTTAGACACCCGTGGCTATCAACAGCTGCTAACAACACAAGTAAAGCAGAATTTGGAATACAGCAGAAATGGCTGCTTATTTCAAGATTTGCCAACCCATTCCTCCTCAGTCTTTTTATTAACGTATGTCAGTCTGTGTGCTTTTGGTGACTTAGCGCAGTGGCGAGCAATTTTGCACATTGTTTTCATGTTGTCCTTTATGCTGAGAATGTTTTCCAATTAGAAAACTGGCAGATAATGTTATTCAGGGCCAGTGTGGCAGGAGACTCACTCTTCCTTTGACATCTTCAACTTCATGAAAAACACAAGTGTCTAACAAAGGAGTCAACTCTATAAATGGTCAACCTTTTTACAAGCATAGGAAATACTGACAGACTTAACAGCCTGTGAAACTGGGTGTGTCTCTTGGTGAAAATGCAACCACAGGTCTGCCCATCCTGTCCACCCAAATGGCCGGTGTGACCAGTTATTCCCATCTAGCAGACATACAGGTAGGGGAAGGGGCTATTGACTTGAGCCTGCAGGAAGAAGACTTGGAAAGACTACACATTTACAACAGTGGGTGACATTAAAGGAAATGACTCCTCACCCCCGATGCGCAATAGGAAAGAAGCCTAAATAAAATAACTAGATTTTTTTTTTTTTTAGAAAATAAATATTGCTAGGATATTCAACTACCTAAACACCCCTTATTCTTATATAACAGAGAAATTTGCAAGCTATTTATTTTTAATATGCCCTGAATGTCTTTTGCTATTATGTAGTACATTTTGCATATGAAAGGCTAGAACTAAACTTCCTTTACTTTTCTACTATAGTGACAATTTTTCTATTCTTCCCAACAATATTATCTCAAATGTGAAGTTATTGGCTCAGCTTCCAGGTGATGAACCTTTATAATTAAAAAACAGATACCACTGGATGTGTTTGTAGATCAAAACTCCTTAGTAATATATGATGATGGGAAAGAAACAAATAAAAATATTTATTAAAAATGTATTTCTCAAAAGGCAAGCAATACTGGCCACTTGTTAGAATTCAGCCCCACACCTGTAATCACAGAGCTGGGGAGACTGAAATGGGGGATCATGAGTTCACTGATCATGATCCTGAATTATACAGCAAGATTGTGTCTCAAAAGAGAGAGAGAACTAAGTATCTTAAACCATCAGAATATTGAAAAAAGTAATAACATTCAAAGAGGCTTGGAGAGCCTAGCTTGTGTGCACACCTGTAACCCACTGTTTGGGAGGTGAAGACAGGAGGTTCAGGAGTCCAAAGCCAACCCTGGCCATGTGAAACCCAGTATCAAATATTTTTTTCGAAAGAAAGAAAGAAAGAAAGAAGGAAAGAAAGAAAGAAAGAAAGAAAGAAAGAAAGAAAGAAAGAAAGAAAGAAAGAAAGAAGGCTGAGTGAAGACCAAAAACTGCCATTTAAATTATCCATGCTTTAAGGACTGATGGATTCCTAAGAGAAGAGATTTTTGAGGTTGTTTGTTTGTTTGTTTGTTTGTTTTCTATTTGTGCTGAAAGGCAGGGTGCCTTTTCAGCCTCTTTATAGTCCAGGACAAATGAGCAGAATCTAAGGAGGTTGGGTGTTTGAAGGAAAGAGGCCTCCAAATCCCCTGACCCTTCCCACACCTCACCCCAGCAGAATGTTTTCCCTAGTCACCCTTACTTTTCTTTCACCTTAATTGTTTGGTGACTCCACAGCATAGTTTTGCTTTAGAATATCACCAGGCTTTAACCAGCCTCCACCCTCAAGCAAACCAATTCTCTCTTCCTTAAATGGACTTCCCATCCTTTAAACAATTTGTCATGCTTGGCATGTGTGAAATGTTAAAAGAGTGAAATGTTAAAAAGTCTTCCTCATTCTCACCCACCCCTCTTGGATGCATGCAGGGTGTGGTCCCACAGAAACCTCTAATCTCTGGACCTGAGAGGCTGAGGCAGGTGGGTGTTTGTGAGCTCAAGACCAGCCTAGTCTACAAAGTGTGTTCTGAACCAGCCAGGGTAACAGAGAGACCTTGTCTCAACCCCCCCCCCCCAACTAACATACACACACAAAACAAACATACAAACAAACAAACAAAAAAAAGGACAAACAAAAACTTGGATCCTCATACAGTCTCCTACAGTATAGCATTCATCACCTTTTGGACAATGGAAACACTTGTAAAGTCTGAATTTCACACTCCATCAAAATGTTTGTCAAGGCTTTAAAGCTATTCTTTTCTTTTTTCCAAACAGGCTAGTCAGTTATTAAATGACTTTTTTATTTATCTATGTCTCCAAACAACCTGAAGTAATGATGTACCCTCCAAAGATACATGTGTGTGTCTGCACACAATACATCCCTCCACTGAGCAAAAGCCAGAGATACCTGCCCAGCACTGAACAAGGCTCACTCCACACACTGACTGAGGAAGAGGAGGGAGCTGACAGCTTCCAGACAGCACTGATACTGTCTCAGGTTGAACCCCACTGGCAGCAAGAATGGTGAATGTATTGGGGACCCCTTCTGAGGCATCCTCAGGCCTCAAATGCAGTAGAGTTCATCTAACATAGCTGAAGACTGACTATTCAGAGACAAAGCCTAAACACTCACTGCCGTCTTAAGCATAGCAAAATGTGAAAAATGTCTGTACATTGAAGCCATGACCATTTTGTGTCTATTTTATTCTAGCACAAAAACTATCAGATGTTGAGAGATAGGTTCTTGGTGTGTAAACTTCAAGGTTATGTCTATTATGTCATTCTCTGGGAGGGGGGAATGGTGGAGGGGGTCTCCCATTTACACTTAGCAGAGACCCATTGTTCCACTCCAAAGGGTGTCTGGGAGCACAGTTTATCTGAGCACACTGAGTAGCCTTGTGCTTTCTCAGCTCAAGTCCGTCTGCCTTCTGAAATACATAGGGTTGATAGCGCTAACATGAAACAGCAGTTATCCCATGTAGGAGGTTATCTAAAATATTTTGCCATGTCTAATCTAAACATTTGCATTTTGTTCAATGGTGGCAAGTTCATTTAAATTAAGATGCTTCATTGGGTCTTTTAAGTACTTAGCTTTTGTTCTTTAGGTGCCTTTCTGATCTCCCATTAGCTCAATTATCCTCCCTCCCCCCCAAAAAAAGGTTCTTAATCTGAAAGCCAGACAAGTATAATAGAGGAGCTACAAACCAGCTGAGTAACTGGCATTTCCAGAGCAAAACTGTAAAGAATGATGAGATCTAGGCAACAGATCATTCAATCAGATCAAGGAAATATCATATCATCAATTCTAACTCCCCAGAACCTAATTTTTTTTTGCCTTAAATGACATGGTTGTATTTTTAAAGAAAATTTTAATTTAATATAATTATGTGCATTTATGTGAGCAGCTCCAGAAGTCATGTACGAAAACAATGCAATTGTCTGTTTCCTGAAAACAACTAAATCAGGAATATCATACCCATTTCAAGCTATCGTTAAAATGTAATTTCCTTTGCTCTTTTACTGAGATTTGTTTTAAACTAAAACATTAAAAAGATGTCTATAAACAGCTAATGTGACTGTTTTTGTCTGGAACAAACTGATTGGGAACAGTTTTAAATGTCTGTGGTGAGCTCTATGGTTCCATTACTATGGATGACTGACCCAAGTAACTCAACTATACATACATTTTGTAGTGGAGTATGTCTTGATGCTGGTGAAGAAACTGTTGCATTTGAGGAATGTGGGAGAATGCATATGTTCTCAAGGATAAAGAAAGAAAACCTAGATAGATAGATAGATAGATAGATAGATAGATAGATAGATAGATAGATAGATAGATAGATTTGATATATTGACTACTAAGGTTTCAGCCCAGGTCCCTGACCAGGTGAGATCCAGTCCAGGCAAGATCTAATTTGATGTGGATCACTACTCAGACACCAGAGTCCACGAGGTTGGTTGTTGTGTTGAGTACAAATTTGAATAGCCCTTGTCTACACTCCCTGGGACCAGAAGTGTTTTAGATTACATATTAAGGTTGATCTTAGGATATTTGAAAATTCAGAATATGCTTTAAGGATGGGATCCAAGTCTAAACACAAAGTCCATTGTGTCACATACACTCGACTATAAATCCCTACAAATGCTCTGCAAGTATGCTACCATGGAGCTCACCCCAGACATTTATATACTGTTTATTATATAATTTGTGCCATGGGAGAAAGTTTCATGGAGTGGAACTTCCTATTTATGGTTTTCACATCAGCACTCAAGAACTTCTGCCTTTGAGAGCCTTTGAGGTGTCAGCCTTCGAGATCCCCAGTCAGTATAACAAAAGGGTTTGCTAAACCAGTGCCAAACAACAAAACCCATGTAGATGCCTCCTGGAGACTGCCTGGGGGCACCCAGCTCTGCCTTACCAGGAAAATGCTTCTACCTCAAAGGGACAGTGTCCTTTCTTCCCTGGGAAACTCCATTACAGGAGAGACAGGGGCGATTACTGCTCTTGCAGAGGACACAGCGTCACTCCCAGCATGAGCGACTCACAACCGCCTTTACTTCAGGTTCCAGAGAATCTGACACATTCCCCTGGCCTGCAACGGCTCTACACACATTTCACCTAAACTCAAAGAGGAATATACTCATAAAGTTTTCTTTTGGGGGGGATGTTGTTTGTTTGTATTTGTTTGGTTTTTGTTGTTGTTGT